TGTCCCGGGGCCCGGCCGGCGTGGCTCCAGCTGGAGATCACGGGTCCATTCCTGTCGGGGCACAGGCCCGGCTGTGGGATGGGCCCGGTGGGGGCGTGCAGGAGGCGGCTGGTCCATGATTCTCTCAGGGGGTCCCTCTGGCTCCCTCCCCTTCCCCTCGGACACCGATGGAAAGTACATGAATATGAAACATACAGAAGGCCCCAGGCACTGGCACAGGGACCCGGCTCTCCTGGGCCTGCGAGAAGTTCCGAAACCCTGCCTGGGGGGGGGGGGCAGGTCCCGGATTTGATCTGAGGACTCCCTGTTTTCCCCGGGACCGGAGGACAGTCGCACATTGGAGACGGGTCCGCATTCCCGGGTTCAGAAACCGTCATCGACCCACAGACAGGGAGCTGGAGGCTGCCCTGTGCCCTATGGCCGCCTTGGCAGCTGTCAGCATGAGTCAGCCCTGGAGAGGGGCAGGGGGATGGGCAGGGGGAGGGGAAAGGGAGAAGGGGAGGGGGAGGGGGAGGGGGAAGGGGAGGAAGGGCCCCCTGGAGGGGGAGGGAGGGAGGTGCCAGCTTGGCTTGGCTTCAGCTCCAGCTGGAAATAGCTCAGCTTTGATTTACTTCCCAGCCCCACCAGGCAGGGGCGCTCCATCCCTAGGGCCCTGGGCAGAGCCTGCCCCGCCTCGCCCTGTCCTGCCCCCCCTGCCAGCTGGGCCAACAGCCTCCTGACCCCAGAGGTGCTGTCACCTGGTCCAAAGGCCAGGGCCTGCTCCGTAGGGGCCCGTGTGCCCGAGTCCGGGAACGTGGGAATCTTTTCTCCTCTGGCTGGTGTGTCTTCCTGCCGCGGCCGGCCCGCGAGTGGCGCTGGGTTGCCTTTTACAGTGGGGGCTTTCCTTTTCTGTCTTTTCTTTAATGTTTTTAGTGATTTCAGAGATGAATGGAAAAAGAGAGAAACAGCAATGAAGAAGAACGAGCTTCAGGTGGGAGCAGAGAGAGAGACAGAGACATCAATGATGAAGAACGAGCTTCAGGCCAGAGCGCTGACCCGTGGGCACCCTCCGTCCGGCAGCGGCAGGCGCGCCATGCCCCTGATGGCGGACGAGGCCATGAAGCTGCTGTGCTCCCTCTCGGAGAAGAAGGAGATGAAGGTGGCCTTCAAGCACATAAAGCGGGGCGTCGCACTCACCTGCATCATGACCGGGATCGGGGGCCTGGTCGGGGGCCCGCCGGGCCTGGCCGTCGGTGAGTGCAGGGCCGGGGGGGGGGGGGGCGGACACGAAGGCCTCTGTCCACAGGGCCTCACGGGAGCTGGGAGGGCTGGGAGCTGAGTGAGACACGGCCTCCGGACAGACGGGTGCGGGCACACGTGTCCCGTCAGCAGCGCACGCTCCTCCTGCGGGGCCGTGGGTGCGGCCTGCCTGAGGGGTGTGCCCTGTGCCCCTGGGTAGGCTGCTCCTGTCTGATCGCAGGGATGGGGGAGGGGGGCTCGGACCCAGGCCTCTGGCCGCTCACACTAGCTGCTCAGAGAGCCCTCCCCTGCCCCCCACTCCCACCCCGGGCCCCAGCCTGTGCAGGAGAAGCTGCCCCTCGTCTCCCACAATGCACCTGCCCTGGGCACAGCCCTCTCATCTGGGGGCCAGAGTGTGGCAATGGGGGAGGTTTGGCCGCTTCCCGTGGCCCCTGGGAGGCCGAGTGAGTTGCTCCCTCTAGTCTGGGAGCAGGAGGGTGCCCAGGTGACCCCAACCTCGGGCTGGGACCCCAACTTCGGGCCGGGACCCCGACCACGGGCTGGGACCCCGACATCGGGCTGTGGCCTGAACAGTGGGCTGTGGGCCGAGTCATGGGCTGCCACCTAAATCCTGTGACAGCTCCCAGGAGCCCCGAGGCCGGCCCTGTGAAAAGCCCCCCTAACCGGAACGTTCTGTCCCCCAGGGGGCGCCGTCGGGGGGCTCCTCGGGGCCTGGATGACCAGCGGGCAGTTTAAGCCGGTCCCCCAGATCCTCATGGAGCTGCCGCCGGCCGAGCAGGAGAAGCTGCTCAGCCAGGTCACGGCCATCGTCAGGCACCTGGAGTGGACGGACGCCGTGCAGCTCACCAAGCAGGTCATGGGCAGCCAGGCGCTGCAGGAGCGGCTGCTGGCGCTGCTCGTGGGCTACATCACCAAGGAGCTGAAGGCCGAGGTGAAGTTCCGTGTCTAGGCTCGGGGGCTCCTGATCCATGATTCTAACGTTCTATCCTTCTCCTTTCTACTCTGTAAAAAAAAAAAAAAAAAAAAAAAAAAAAAAAAAGAATAAAATGGAATTAAAAACAAAAGCAACAGCTGGGGACCGAAATGAGGTGCGGAGACCAGGCTCGGCAGGGTGGGCGAGCACCGGACTCGGGGTGTGCCGGGTGCTGGTCCCGTCTGGAAAGGGAGAGGGTTAGAGAGTAAAACGGGGCAGAAACACTTCCTGTGCTGAGCAGATCCCTGCAGGCAGCCTGCAGCCTTGAGGCCCGCCCAGCCCAGGTCACCAGAGGTCACTCCACCATCATCGCGGGCGCCCAGGGCACCCGGGAGGGACCACACTGCCCGCCCACCTCCGGCCCCTCCGTGCCCAGAGGCAGAGCCTTAGAGGAGGCCTCACTGGGAGGCGAGGGGAGTGGGGAGTCAGCTGGGAGGATGGGGACATGGGGAGCATCCTGGGGTCAGAACAAGGGTCACGTGAGCTCCCTCCTACGTGGCATCTAAGGGACAAAATAAACGGATGTCCGGTGGGCGTGGCTGAGCATCCACCTGTGGTCCAGGAGGCCACAGGGTGTTTCTGGGTCAGCACTGGGGGTCCCCTCGGGCCAGCGGGAAGCGGGGGCTGGGCACCACCCGACAAGGGGCTCAGCCTAGTCCCTGAGCGCTGGCCTCCCGTCCGCAGCCTCCGTGTGCTGCATGCAGACCTCGCTGCTGCCCCGACAGCCCTGCCGGGGCCTTCGCTGAGCCTGCCTCTGGCCGCTCACGTTAGCTGCTCAGAGAGCACCCCCCTGCCCCCCACTCCCACCCCCGGCCCCAGCCTGTGCAGGAGAAGCTGCCCCTCATCTCCCACAATGCACCTGCCCTGGGCACACCCCTCCCATCTGGGGCCAGAGTGTGGCAATGGGGGAGGTTTGGCCGCTTCCCGTGGCCCCTGGGAGGCCGAGTGAGTTGCTCCCTCTAGTCTGGGAGCAGGAGGGTGCCCGGGTGACCCCAACCTCAGGCCGGGACCCCAACCACGGTCCGGGACCCAGACCAGCGTTTGAATCCATGGCTGTGGCACAGGCCCTGGGCTGCTACCTAAATCCTCTGAGGAACTCCCAGCATAGTGGGCAACCTCACTCACCCAACCTCCCGTCCTACAGGGGGCGCCGTCGGGGAACTACTAGGCTCCTGATGTGGGGGGAAATTTAAGTCAGTCCATCAGATAAAGAAGAACAAACTGCAGGAGCAGCCAGGTCCCAGGGCTGGAGGCCCACCCCTGACCCTGGGGGCTGAAGCCCCCAAGCTGCCTGAGCCCTCACCCAGGATCAGTCCTGGGAGGGGGCAGTGGCTTTGGGCCCCAGATCCCCCCTCGGGGCTGAAGGTACTTGCCCGGCTCCCTCAGGCGTGCTCAGCCCCTGGGCTCATTTCCTTGTAAAAACCTCCACTTGGTTATGTCTGAAGAGGCCTTCCCCTCGGCTGCCCCTGCCCCGCCCCTCTTGTCAATCATGTCATGTGCATCCATTCGGTTAACGGTTTAACCGTGATCTTTGCAAAGGATTCCTTTCCCTTCATTTGGCAGCGATTGCCGAAGACAGGTAAGCGCGGACGAGTGTACGTAATAAAGCGCCACGAATTCCAGCACGCAACATGAACATACTTCTGTGTGTTCTGTGTGTGTGCATTGTGTGTGTAACAAGTATACTGTGTGTGTGCATTGTGTGTGTAACAAGTCTGCCGCTCTTGTTAAGGACGCCTGTTTAAGACACCCACTAAGGGCCGTGCGGGTAATTAAATGGACAATTCCAACACAGCTCTAGCAGAAGACCTGATTACACTAACAGCAGAGATGGTCTTCATCGGGTACCGCGGCGACGGAGCGCCATGGCGGTGAGGGCATGCCGCTGCCCGGCGCTCTGCAGCTACGGGCGGCGGTCCATGTTTCCTCTGAGCCCGTGCGAGGCGGCTGACCCTTCTCAGCCCAGACACCCGAGCTGGAGGGACATCAGACACCATGGGGAGCCCACGGTCCCCAAATGTCAGTGACGGGAGCAGCTGGGTCGCAGAGGACGCTCCCCGGGTCCCCCTGCAGCCCAGGACCTGGCTGCCGTGCCGGTGCGGGAAGTCCCGGGGCCTGTCCGGGGAACGCCCATCGCCTGCTGGCCCCCTGGACAGAGGGCGACTCTGAGGCCCCGACTTCAGGACGGTGCACGGCCAGCGGAAGGCGCCCTGGCCCAGGGACCGGGACTTCCCCAGCAGCTCCTGGGCATTCGGGACTGGCAGCCAGAGCCCCACGCCCCTGCCCACCTCTCCTCCTGTGGCCCTGGGTCCCCCCTGCGCCGGGAGTGACCACGTTTTTCAAATCCCACAGCTGCTCGGACTGGAGCCCCCTGCAGGGAGCCCCCTCTGTCCACCCAGGCCCGAGGGAGGGCAGGGTGGGGGTTCAGCCGTTTCCAGACCCGACACAGACCAGAGCCGGGACCCGCGCCTGTGGCGTGTCTGCAGAGCGGAGATGAGGCCTGGGCGGCCCTGCCCGGGCCCCACCCTCCCACCCGCTGCACTGCAGGAGCCCCGGAATCCGGAGCCAAGGCCTCGCGCGTTTTATTATCACAAACAGCCCGCGTCCCAGGGCACGCAGGCGCAGGACGGGCAGAGCTGGCACCCACGAGCCAGCGGGCCGCTGGTGCCTCCGCCCCTCTCCCCCGGGAGGATGCCCCCTGCTCCCCGGAGCCAGGCGTTTCTTCCCGGTGTCCTGCCGACAGGGGACGGGGGCGGTCTCCCCGGAGCCGGGCCCGGGGCCGCAGCGCTCACAGGTCCATGGTTCCCTTCGCTTTGAACTTCTTGGCGGACCGCTCGCTCGACCGAAGCTGGAACTTGCTCCCGTGAATGTAGGAGACGAAGCCGTCGGTTTCCACAGAGAACACGCAGCCCAGCTTGGGGATCACTGCGGGGAGCGGGAGACGCATGGGGCCGGCAGCAAGCCCGCCCGCCCGCCCACAGTCACGCCCACGGAGGTTCCGGGATGAGCTCACAGGAAACGGGGCTCTCGGGATCACCCTGCGCAGCCAGGTCACCCCGTCCCACCCAAAGCTCAGCCCCCGGCGGTCAGGGCTCAAGCTGGGAGCCCCTCTCAGCACCAGGACCGCCCTGGTCTCCCTCCCAGCCCTGGTCTCCCCCCAGGTCTCTCTCCCAGAGCTTCAGGGGGCTCCGCTCGGCGGAAACACTGACCACGCCCGGAGTGGAAACGAGAAGACCCGCAGGGAGACGCAGGGCGGCGGCGGGAAAGCCGGCTCCAAAATTAAAGGAGCCGCCCGCCGGCGTGGCTCGGTGGTTACGTGTCGACCCATGAACCAGGTCAGGGTTCGATTCCTGGTCAGGGCACGTGACCAGTTTGCGGGCTCCATCCCCAGTGCGGAGCGGGCAGGAGGCAGCCGATCCATGACTCTCCATCCATGATATTTCGTTGTCTCTCTCCCTTCCTTTCGAAATCAATTAAAAAATATTTTTTAAAGAAAGGTAACATTAGCCGAAACCGGTTTGGCTCAATGGGTAGAGCGTTGGCTTGGGGACTGAAGGATCCCGGGTTCGATTCCAGTCAAGGGCATGTACCTTGGTTGCCGGCACATCCCCAGTAAGGGGTGTGCAAGAGGCAGCTGACCGATGATTCTCTCTCATCAATGTTTCTAACTCTCTTCCTCTCTGTACAAAATCAATAAAAAAAATTTAAAAAAAGGTAACATTAAAAAAAAAAAAAGGTAAAGGAACCAAACCCACACGTATGGATCTGAACTTCCTTTGCGCGTGCGTGGGTCATGCCCCTCGCTAGATGCGGGGGGCCTCGCAGGCCCCCCAGACCCACAGACTCACGGCCACGGGCGCGGCTCCTGCACCCCAGGGGCAGGCGCGGCCCCTGCAGGTCCCTGGAGTGGGTGCTGCCCGAGGCCCTGAGGCCAGGGTGAGGCGGCGAGGCGGCCAGCGCACCTTTCAGGCGGTCTCCCTCGGTGAGGACCTTGAAGACGTGCTTGGTTTCCTGCAGGAGGATCCCTGTGACCCCCACGTAGGAGGGACACTTGGACTTGGTGACTGCAAAGGAGAAGGGTCCAGCTCAGGCCTGCCCAGCGGGGGGGCGCGGGCCGGCACCGAGTGGCGGGAGGCCCACTTCCCGCCTCTGCCTGGACCCTGCGATGGCCAACAGGGTGTCCTTGGGGCCCGCAGGCCGGGGTGTGGGCGGGATTCGAGAGCCACGTCACACGTGTCCCACGCCCTCCAGGGGCAGTCGGGGCTGCGTGGTGAGGGCAGAGACCACCTAGAGGCTATCTCTCCGCCCAGCGCTGACATCCCCGGCAATGCTGCCCCGACCCCTGACCCCGCAATGCTGCCCTGGTGCCACCTGCTCTCAGGCCCTTACCGGAAACAATGGCGCCATGGAGATCTGCCTTCAACAGCTTGGCCTGGATCGCCTGGGGCTGCCTGTGGGGCAGACAGAAAGAAGCCTCACCGTCTGCCGGACACAGAGCTCTGGAAGCGGGCCCCAGGCTGCACCTACAGCCGCCAGGGCCAGGGCCAGGGCCAGGGCCAGGGCCAGGGCCAGGGCCAGGGTCCAAGAGGCATGGGCTCCCCCAAAGGCCAAGGCTTCAGAAACGGAACTCACGAGTCTGGCCTGAGGCCGTTGCACAGGTCCCGGATGTACTGTTTCCAGAGCTCGTGCAGGGGCAGGAAGAGGTGGTATCTGCGGAGTCAGAGGGCGGGAGCGAGGCACTGAGCGCGAAGACCGTCCGAGCACAGCGCCCGGCTTCCGCCGCGGACGCCGGGGCCCCCACCCCGGTCACTGCTTCCCCCCTCAGCCGTCCCTGCCGGTGGGACTCTGGAGGCCCGTCCCTGCTAGCCAGACAGTGAGTGCCCTTCCTGGCCTCTCCCCCTCCCTGCCGGGGACACCGCTGCGACAGCTGGAGCGCAGGCAGCGCCTGAGGCCTCAAGGCAATGCCTAGGACGCCGGAGCAGCCGCACACACGGGGCCACGCTGCCTGGGCCGAGCGGTGGGCCCGCCTGCACGGCACCGGCACCGGCACCGGCCTCCTCCTCTTCCTCCTCCGAGAGAAACCCCTGCGGGTTTCCGGCTGCTGGGCCTGCTCCTCAGGCCCCGAGCGTCAGGACGCTGAGCTGCTGGCTGTCACCCAGAACCGGGGACGTGACAGGTCTGCCTGGCAGGGGAGGGCGCGGAGCAGAGGACCCCGGAGGCTCCCCTCGGGCCCCGTCACCCCTCCTGGCGCCTCTGGGGAGCCCTCCACCTGGAAGGTGGGTCAGAGAACGGAGAACCTCGGCTCAAACCTGCAGGGGGTCCCTGAGACAGACAGCTGCCCTGCCCAGGGTGAGAGACTGTCCCGTGGGTGTGCGAGCTGCTGGCTACCGTCTGGAGCAAACGTCTATAGGCCCGAGGCACCCACACCCAGAGGCAGCCAAGGAGGGGGCCGGCAGGAGGCAGGAGCCGCTCCCGCTAAGAGGGCCACGTCCCTGGCGGAGGCTTCCCGACATGGGCGATTCTGCCTGCTGCTGGGAGAAGCTTCCAGAGATACAGATTAAGAAGTCTCAGCTGCTCTTTTCTAAAAGGCCTGGAAGACAGCCAGCTGCTGCCATGGGCAACAGACGCACTCCAGGCGGGTCCCATTAGGGCTGGGACAGAAGCCAGCCACTCACCAGCCTCCCTATCAAAAGCCTAACCAAACCCAGTCCGGTTGGTAAGGGAAGGCTGCCCCCTGGTGGCGGCGGCGGGAGACTGCACCAGGCGGGAAGGCCGTACCTCTGCTGCTCCGGCTTAATGTCGAAGAGGCGCAGCGCCCTCCTCTGCCGCGCGGACAGGCCCCGGGGCCGCCGCCTCGGCCCCCGCTGCCTCGGGCGGGCGCAGTAGTCCAGCACCACGGCCTTGCGCTGCAGCTGGTCCTCGCGGGCGCGCGGGCTCAGGTGCGGCGTGCAGCGCCGCAGGAAGGCCTGCAGGAAGGCCTCGGCGCGCTGGGCTCCGGGGCGCTGGTGGGATGGGAGGGGAGGGGATGGCTCACTGCTCTGCGGGGCACAGTCCCACCCGGACCCGGGCCCTCGCAGGCAGGCTGCTCCCCGACCACACACACCGCTGGCTGTCCGCCGCCCGCCTACCTGCACATCCAGCTCCTTGGCCTCCTTCTGGGAGAGGGCGTGGTAGACTCCCCCTGCGGACGGACAACGGACACGGATGATTCCTGCTGGCGGAAGGCCCAGGGGGCGCCCTGCCAACGCCGAACAGAGCAGTGCTTCTCCGGACAGGAGGCGAGGCTGTCATGGACGCTCTCACCCTGCCCAGGGTCCCGTCCGTCACAGAGACCCCAGGGCGGGCTTCAGAAGGTGCTTCTCGCCGAAACCGGTGTGGCTCAGTGGATAGAGCGCCGGCCTGCGGACTTAAGGGTCCCGGGTTCGATTCCGGTCAAGGGCATGTGCCTTCGTTGCGGGCACATCCCCAGTATGGGGTGCGCAAGAGGCAGCTGATAGATGATTCTCTCTCATCGATGTTTCTAACTGGGCAGCAGACCACACCTGGAGCTGCACGGGCTTCACACACTCCACCTGACAGCTCCCCGGAGGCCTGAGTGGCGGCCTTGCCGACCCAGAGACCTCCCGTGACCGCACAGGAGGGGCTGAAATGAGCACTATGTAACTATGGCGGGTAGTCAGGCCCTAGCCGGAACCGGGGAGACCAGATTCCCCCCACTGCTAACTGTTGACTGTTAACCATCCAGTGCCCACCTCTGTACAAGAAGTACAGGACTAAGATGTCTGTTAGCAGGATAAGGAAGTTTTTTAATATATATATATATATATATATATATATATATATATATATATATAATTTTTATTTTTATTGATTTCTTAGAGAGAGGAAGAGAGAGGGATAGAGAGTTAGAAACATTGATGGGAAACATCAATCAGCCATCTCCTGCACACCCTCCCTGGGGATTCGCCCGTAACCAAGGTACATGCCCTTGACCGGAATTGAACCTGGGACCTTTCAGTCTGCAGGCCGAGGCTCTATCCACTGAGCCACACCGGTTTTGGCCTGCCTCCTCTTTTGACTGTAATGCAACAAATAGGGTGCAAACTGCCATTTTTCTGGATCCGTTAAGATTTTGCTTCCTGGCCGTTGTCATCAGTTTGGCTCACAGAACTCACGAAAATTCTCTACGGGTCTGAATGCTTCTTACATGGACAATTCCACAGGTACTCCGCATATGTTACCTCATCCCTCCTGAAGAATCCTGTAACTGGTCATCATCCCTATTATGCACTGAGCACACTGAGATTCTAACTGGGCCGCACAGGCAGGCCCCTGCAGAGGTGGGGCCCGGAACCCCGACGCAAAGGCCGGTGTCAACGGTGTCTACACTAAGGTGACCAGACGTCCCGATTTTTAACAATTCGGGACTTTTTTAAAACGCCGCGGGACGCGGGACGAATTGTTGAAAAAGCGGGACATCTGGTCACCTGCTCCCCTGCCTACAGCTGCCCCGGCGCTGGCTCCCCTCGGGGCACGGCTCTCTGCCAACGCCGGTGTGTGTGTGTGTGTGTGTGTGTGTGTGTGTGTGTGTGTGTGTGTGTGTGTTGGGGGTTGGGGAGGTGGCAGTGTCCCTGCCCAGCAAGCGCCCAGGGCTCCTCGCCGCATTGGGGTCGTTCATAGACGGCAGGCCGGGCAGGCCTAGGGCCCGGACACCCCGGGAGGGAGCGGCCAAGTCCGGCGAAGGCCCTGGTCGGTCCCGTAGCACCCACGCCACTGAGCGGCCCCGAGAACCGGCCTCCAGCTCGGACCCCAAGCCCAGGCTGAGACGGGGCCGGGCCAGCCGGGCCTCAGTTTCCCCGAGGGAAGGTGGGGCGATTCCCCACAACAGCCCCACTCGCACTCCGCAGCGACCCTTCTCCCTCCCCGGCACCCGCACCCTGACCTCCCTCCTCCCTCCCCGGGGCCCGATCCCCGACGCCCGAGCCCAAGGCCCTCAGCCCCACTCACCCCTCATCCTGGGGCCGCTTCCGGTGCGCTCTGATGACGTCTCCATCGGCGCCGCTCGCGCTTCTCCTCCCTCCACCTCCCTCCGGGGTCCGCGACCACCTCGGCCCCTGTCGCCGCAGTCGGCGAAGGAGAGGGTCCTCGTCCCCGAGCTCGCGCGGCACGGAGCCCGCAGGCCCACACGCTCGGGCTCGCAGCCGGCGTCGCGGGCGCTGGACGCGGGCGCGCGACGCAGCCCGTGACGTCACTGAGCGCGCCTGCTGGGTCGGCGCATGCGCCTGAGAGCGGGCGACGCTGCGGGGGGCGGGGAGGAGGAAGGGGCGTGGCCGCCCCTGCGGAGTCTGCGCAGTGGGGCTCTTTTGCAGCCTCGTGTTTCCTAAGCGGCGAAGGCTATACGCGGTGGGGTTGCAGCTAGCGCGTGTGGAACCCTTAACCTTTTTCTTTTTAAAAATTAGCTCCGAACGATAAACTTTCAGACATGGATTCAGGTGTTCTCCTGATTTTGGGAAAGTGGTTTTGTGGAAGATCCACGGGAAGTCGATAGAATTGCAGCAAATAGCACCCCCCATCCCCCTCCCCCCCGCCCCAGCCCAGTTTATTATAAAAATCTTCACATAAACAGGAAAATGGGGGAATTCTGCAGTGAACGCCCGTATGCTCTCGATTCGACAATTAGCGTTTTGTCCATTTTCGGGGTTTCTTCTGAAGGCCGCCCACCCCGAGACACCCAGGCGGGGCGGGGACCCAGGGGACGGGCTCGGAGGGATGGAGCCTCGGCTGCCGAAGAAGCGCGTTTCTGTGAAAAGGGACCCCCTGCCACCCCTTTGGGTCGGAGAAAAGGTCCCGATCCCAAAGAAGCGCCACTGAACCTGCAGCGGCCCGCGGAGGCTTCGTGTTCGGTGACAGCTGTCATCCTCCAAGTTAACAGATTGTCGGTTTGTTATTTTATGCCAGAGGCCCGGGGCACGGTTCGTGCACGGGGGGGGGGGGGGGGGGGGTGTCCCTTGGGGTGGCCGGCGGGATCGGGCTGAAACCCGCAGCCCAAAGCCGCCTGCGGCTCCCGCTGCTCCCGGCCACACGCCCAGTCCTTCTGGGGACCCCTGGGCGCCAACACCTGCTCGGTCCCCGGTGGCAGGCCCCGTGCTCTGTGCACCCCAAGGAGTCACTTCCCGCCTTCCTGAAGTCCGGGTGTCCCCCAATTTTCTCACTGTGCTTGGAAGGTCGCTGTCTTAACACAAAACCCTGAACAGAGACCCAGGCCCGAGAGGCCCGCGGGCAGTGACCTCACCAGGCGCCAGGGGCCCTTCCTCTCGCCTTTCTTTCATTAGGTCATTGATCCGTAGCATTGATCAGCACCATTGATCAGCACCATCGATCAGCGCACGTGACGCCTGGCGGGCCGCACTCGGGTGAGGATGGATGCTGTTCACTTCCAGGCCATCCATCGTGGCCTGGACTCCCGGGGAGGGGTGGCGGGCGGGACCCCGGACCCTCGCTTCACAGGGGCCCCGGAGGCTGAGTTCACCAGCCGACTCCACAGACGACGGGATGGGAACGCGCCCCCGGAGACGGACTCTGAGCTTTCGCACTGTTCTGACCTCCGGCCGATGCTGGGCCGCCGGGCTGGCGGGGAGCAGGGACTGGGCGGAGCGGGAGTGGCCCCGCTCCGAACCTCCCCTCTTCCCTCCCGCCGGGAGCCCCCCAATCCTGTCACCACTGTGAGGACGTCTCACGCTGAAAGATGACGATCGATGCCGGCCGCTGGGGCTCAGCTAGCTCGGGGGACCCAGAGGGCACGCACGCGTCCAGGTGCCCAGTGCCCAGTGCCCACCGGGCTGCCCCCGTCATGTCCAGGGACCGAGCCAGCAGGGCGCTGGGCCACAGGGCTCTGGATCAGAGGGTTTGCTCGGCCTCCTGTGCACCCTCATTCCTCCTCGGCATCAGTTGCGGGTATGTGTGTGTGTGTGTGTGTATGTGTGTGTGAGTGTGTGTGTTAAGCTCCACTTTAGGGAACCGGCCCAGCCTCATCCACAACTTCCTTCCCGAAATCCTTGGTCCCAGGAGGAGGTTGCAGAGCTCCTTCCTGTGCGTGAGCGGGGCTGCCTGGCTGTGCAGGATCCAGGGCCGCCGCCCCGCAGAGCACCCCTGCTCCTGTCCCCCTGGGCGTCAGGGCCAGTGGATTCCAGGGGGAGCCTGGCTGACGGCCTGTCTGCAGCGCCTGGTGTGTGTGCGGTGGGAGGTGGCTCCCCAGCTGCGGCCCCTGGAGGGACCTGGCTCAGCGGCAGCCCATCACGGGCCCGTCCTCGGGCGCCCGTGGCGGCGGGGGAGCGCCTGGCTGGTTCCACGCACACTGGGCCCCGCCTCGGAGCCCGTGAGCCGCCGCCGCATTGAGTTGTCCTTCATACTGAGACGATCCTCTGGGCAGAGCCACCCTCCACCAGACAAAGCGATTAAGTTTACAGCTCGATGGGTGGTGATCGATAGTCAGGACAAATGAGACCACTTACTGTGTCTGCCGGAAAGGGCAGGCTCGAGGGCGCCCCCTCCCGGCAGCCCGGCCCGCCAGCTCCGCACAGGGGGGTGAGGGATGTCTGTGCACAGGCGGGACGGCCCAAACGCACTTCCCTTTCCTCTTTGCCCCAAATAGAGACCGACCGCATCCTTGTGCCCCAGCTGCCAAGGCTGGCGCCTCGCGGTGCAGTTCCAGTGCCTGGCAGCAGGGGGCGCTCTGCACATGCTGGAAGCGCGGGACGCGGGGCTGGCCCAGGGCTCGCAGTGTGGAATGTTGCTGGTCCAGGTTCAGACCAGCCACCTCATGCCTGGCCTGGAAGCCACTGCCCCTTCGTGCACAGCTCACTGGCCAGAGCGGAGTCCCAACCCGGAGAGGCCAGCGGAGATGGGGAGGGAGGTACCCGTGAGCAACACCTGGGACGAGCTGGTAATTTAAGGACTGGTTGGGGCCCTGGCTGGTTTGGCTCAGTGGATAACGCATTGGCCTGCGGACTGAGACTGGCTGGGTTCCGAGCAAATCCAGGGGATCTGGCTATTTAATGCAACCCTGTCCGGCACGAAGACGAATAGCCCCCCATCTATCTCTTTAAGGCGTGTGCCCCAAACACAGGCATTTCAGAGGCTCCCAGCATTCTCTCCATGCACTAGGAAAGGGCACGGGCGGCCCCTCTCCTCCCGATTCCCGCTCCCCCTGGCAGGGGCTCCAGGCACAGGGAATACAGCTGGGGTGGCATCTCCCGGTAGGCATGGAGGTTTATTAGTGTAAGCCAGAAGGAAAGAGGCTGGCCTAGCCTGTGCAGCTCAGTGGGATGAGAAGGCAGCCGATCCATGTTTCTCTCTTATCGATGTTTCTCTCCCTCTCTCTCTCTCTCTCTCTCTCTCTCTCTCTCTCTCCTTTCCTTTCCCTCTCAAATCAGTAAAAAATATTTTAAAATGTATTTTATTGATTTTTTTTTTTTTTACAGAGAGGAAGGGAGAGAGAGTTAGAAACATTGATGAGAGAGAAACATCAATCAACTGCCTCCTGCACACCCCCTACTGGGGATGAGCCTGCAACCAAGGTACATGCCCTTGACCGGAATCTAAACCAGGAAGGACCCTTAAGTCCACAGGTCGATGCTCTATCCACTGAGCAAACCAGTTAGGGCTAAAAAATCATATTTTAAAAGAAGATTAATATCACACCTCTTCCCAGGGACTTCTTCCTCAAAGACCCAGGCAGGGGGCTCCTGTCACCCCCTCCTCCCTCCCGGCTCCCTGAGGCCCCCTGTCCCTAGGGAAGGCTGGGCAGGTGCTCCTGTCTGCCGTGTGGCCTCGGCCAGGGACCCGGAGGCCACAGCATCGGGGCTGCCCAAGGCCCCGAGGCGTCACCTTCACACAGGCCCGTAGAAAGCTTACTGCAAAGCCGTGTTCCTTTTTATTCCACTGGGATTCAGCAATCTACAATCCAGCGTATAAACAAGTGTCCGACCTGTTTCCCGTGTTTATTTAAAAATAAATATTATTGACAGTGAACTTTAATTAGGACCAGATGCATCTTTTTAAATCCAATGTCTCAAAAAGAAATAATTCACTTCGATAAAAGAGATGAGCCCCCAGAGGAGAATGTGGAGGGAAAAAAAAATCCTAAACACAAGCATCGACTGAAAATGCTTCCTTTGTCGGAGCGGCCACGACCCGACCTTTTCCCGGCGGCTCCTGAGAGCGGCCGGCGGTCTGTGCAGAACGGAGAGGCAGAGCGAGAAAAGGAAAGGTCACGGAGGTGGAGAATCCGGGGCCGGGAGCACCGCGCGGTCTGGGTCCTTCTCCTCTGGAACCCGGACGTGTGGTTCCGGGTTTCCACGTTGTGTAACTCCCCCACGTATGATTTATCTGATTTCCACCTGGACTTGTCATGCTTCTCTCAGCCTCTCGGTGTCCATCCGGCGACCCGGTCCTCACCCGGGTCCAGGTCCAGGTCCGTGTCCGGGTTCGGGTCTGGGTCCAGGTCCAGATCCAGGTCCAGGTCTGGATCCGGGTCTGTGTCCGGGTTCAGGTCTGGATCCGGGTCCAGGTCCGGGCACGCAGGGGGGGCGGCTGTCAGAGCCCCAGCAGCCGGCCCAGGAGCCAGGGCAGAGCCACCAGGAGCAGCGCCGGGAGAGGGTCGGTGGAGGAGGTGGGGCCGGTGCCTGGGGGGTGGATGGGAAGAGGAAACATTTAATGCCTGAGTCACAGGAACCAGGCGGCCCCAGAGCAGACCAGCCCACGGAACACCCGGCCTCGGGGGACCCTCGGGACCGGCTGCTCAGGAGCCAGCTGAGGTCAGACCCGGGTGCTGGCTGGGGGGGGGGGGGGTGCTAGGCTGGAGGCTGGAGTCCAAGTCGTTGTGTGTTGCCTAAGAGGCCTCCTTCGCCCTCTGGCTGGCACCCAGCCCGGACAGACGAGGGGGAGGTGGTGCCGGCTGAGTGGCCGGACGGCCTGGTGCCTGCGGAACTCACTCTGGCTCAGGCGCCCCCAAAACAGGGGGAGGCCTCAGACGCAGCCCTGGGCCCGCGTTCCCACGGGCCACAGGGCCAGCAGCTGGGGGTTCTGGGACCGCCGCTCCTGTCAGGGGACACACCCATCCTTCCTTAGTGCGGCCGACTTGGGCAGAGCCGGGCGGTGTGGGACCCACCCCGCACCCACCCCGCACCCACAGGCCCCGCGCGCCCCGGCGGCGCACATCAAGGACAGAGCAGCGGAGAGACCCCCGGAGCCGCCTCCCCAGCGCGTCCCGGACACACAAGCTACCAAACCACGAGGACGGTGTGCAAGTGACGGACCCTCAGGGGATGTGTGTGCGTGTATGGGGGGGGGGGGTCCCCGCATCCCCCGCCCCCAAACCCAGGCCCTTCCTCCACCCGGGATGACAGCCTGGCTCAGCCCCACGCCCATGGACAGCACCCCGCGCCCCTCCCCTCCGCCCGCCTCACCGGAGCCAGGCCGCTGGCGCAGGACCCCCTGGCCGGGCGGGGCAGCGGACGGAGCAGCGGCTGCAGCTGCGGGGGCTTCGGGGGTGGCGGCCTCGGGGACCCCGGGGCCGGGGGTGGCTGACGGGCTTCCCGGAGGAGGAGGAGGAGGCGGCGGCGGGCTCCGGGAGCCGCGGCCGGGCGGGGCGGTGGGGCGGCGGGGGACGCTGGCCGCGGGGCCGGGACTCCGGGGGCCGCCGCCCTGCATGTGGGACGCGGCCTCGGCCACCTGCACGCGGGGCGGCGCGGGGCGGGGCAGCACGCGCAGCAGGGCCCGGGCCGCGCGCCCCCGCGTGTCCGCGTCCGTGTCCGTGTCCGCGGCGCCGGCGCCCGCCACGCGGCACTCGTACACGCCCGCGTCCCGCCGCCGCACGGCCGCCAGCCGCAGCCGGTGCGAGATGGCCGGGCCCTGGACACGCACGGCCTGAGGGGGAGGCGGGGTCAGGGGGGCGTCCCGACCCCCACACCCCCACCCGCGTGGGGCTCCCAACCCTGGGTGTCCCGGGCGGCCCTGGTCCCCACCACCCTCAGACCTCGGGCTGGCCCTCCCCCGCCTCCACCTCACTCGCTATCATGTCTTTATTCTTTTATTTTTTAAAAAATGTTTTTATTGATTTCAGGGAGGAAGCGAGATGGAGAGGTGGAAACATTACGGATGAGAGAGGATCACTGATCAGACGCCTCCTGCGAGCCCCCTGAGGATCGAACCCGGGCCTACCCTCCTCCCCCCCAGCGGGCGGGCCAGGCTGCGGCCAGGGGGGAGGGGGGGAGCGCCCGGTTTGGGGCCCTCACCTCTGCACCCAGCGCAGGAGGGAGGGGTACTCCAGGCCTGACACCAGCACCTTCCCGCTGGGAAAGCTTGGGCACATGTTCTCCCTGAGTTACAAACCCCAGGATCCCGGTCCCTCTCACTGATCCCTCCCCAACCCCCAACCCCCGTTCCCAACTCCTAGTGCCGTGACACCGTGACGCAGGCGGGGGAGAGGGCTCCCCGGGCAGAGCCAGGGCTGGGCGGCGTGAGCAGCGGCGCCCCCCGCCCCCCAGCTGCGGGGAGAAGCGCCCGCGGAGGGAGGATCCCGCGACGGGAGGAGATGCGGGCGTCGCGGGGGGAGGAGGGTGCGGGGAGCGCGGAGGGCGGAGGGAGGTGCGAGCCTGGGACCCGCTGTGTGTGCCGATCCTGCTTCCGGCACCAGGCGGGGTTGCAGGGAAGTCCCCGCCGCGTGCCCCGGAGCCGCTAACGGGGAGGACGGTGCGGGGCGCCCGCGGCCAGGAGGGGGCCCCGCACTTACGCTGATCTTAGTCGCATCCGTGCTGGTTCCCTGAAATGCAAAGAGCGGGAGGGGGACGTGAGGCCCTCGGCCTGCGGGGGGCTGGGGGGCTCAGTGTCTGCGGTCAGGAGAGCCGAGACCGCGTGTCTCTGTCCCCACCGGCACCCACCGGACCGGGCCCGCGGGCGGGCTGGGTGGGTGGGTTTGGAGGCTCCGGGTGGACTCCGGGAGGTCCCAGGAGAAGCGGTGAGGGACAGGGCTGGGGTGACTGCCGTGGAAGAAGCCGTGGGGCGGGAGGGGGAGGGGGGCGGAGGGAGAGTGCGGGGGGAGGAGGTGGGGGTACCTGGCTCCGGGCGCTCAGGGCCGGCTCGGGCCGCGGCTGGCGGGGCGGCCGCAGGAGCCACCACTGGAGCTCCAGCGCGGACGGGGCGCCGCGGGCCCGGAAGGCGCAGCGCATCTCCACGTCCTCCCCCTCCCGCGCCGCCACGTCCGCGGGGACCTCGGTGAACGCCGCTGGGCGCGGGGGGCGCAGGGTGACCGTGCGGGGCGGGGCCCGAGTCCCAACCCCAACCCGCAAAGTCCCAACCCCAACCCGAGTCCCAACCCCAACCCTTAGCAGCCGCCGGCCCCGCCGAGACCCGCTCCGCGCAGGCGGCTTCCCCGGGGACCGGGACCGGGAGGCTCCCTCCCACCCACCCCCGCCCCCGCACACACACCCTACACCCCCCCAGCCCCCCACATCCCTCGTTCCCACCGCCCCGGGGCCCCTTCGCTGCGCCCCCTGCCCCTCGGGGCCGGTGCAGCCCGTGTGGGGGCCGCGAAGCCTCCTCCCCCTCCTCCTCCTCTTCCTCCGCCGCGACCCGGGCAGCTGGCCCCGGCGGCCCCGGCCCCCTGAACCCCGGCAGGAAGCCCCGCTCACCGTGGGCCGCCGGGAGCAGCAGGAGGAGCTGCAGCAGCAGCGGCGGCGGCGGCGGCGGCGGGGCTCCGGGGGCGCCGGGCGGGCTCCGCTGTCCCATCGCCCGCGGGGGGCGCGGGGCGCGGACCCGGGGGGCTGGGCTAGGCCCCCTCCGGGCCGGCTACGGCCCCGCGGCGCCCCCTCCGCCGCGATCAGAGCCGCTCCCCGCCCGCAGGCTCCCCCGGAGGCCCGGGCGGTCGTCCCGCGCCCCCCGCGGGTGGGACCGCAGTCAGTCTCCGCGCGGCGGGCCGGGCAGGGGCGGGGCCATCCCGGCCTCGGGGCTGCGAGTGGGTCCGCCTCCCGGCTCCGGGGTCCGGCTCCCGCCTCCGCCTCCCGGGCTCCCTCCGCGGGACAGGGGCGCCTCCGCCGCGCGCAGACCTGGCGCCGGACCCGGTGCGGCGGGAGCGCGGGTCCCGCGCGGTTGGACCCGGAGCCGGAGGGGGAGGCGGTCCGAGGCTGAGCTGGGGCCTCCGCCGCCCCAGGACCCACCCCCGCCCCTCCCGCCGCGGGGGTCGCCGCTGGACCCGCGGCCTCTCCGCCGGAGCTCAGCCCGCCCGCCCCGCTCGGCTGGGGCTCCTTCCGCCGAACTCCGCCCGCCCCGGCCTCTCCCCGCCCCGCGCTCCAGGCCGCCCCCCGCCCCCCGCCCCGCTCCTCCCGGGTTCGGGGACGGGCGGCTCCGCGCTGGGCCCCGGCCCGGGCCGTGGAGGGGGGCGGCAGGCCGGGGCCCCGGGGCAGGTCGGGCGAGGCGGACGCGGAGCCGCAGCGAGCGCGCGGGAGGGAGGCCGGGCGGGCGGGCGGGCAGGTGCCCGGGCGGCGGGCGGAGGGCGGAGCGGGGCCTGAGTGCAGGGGGGGGGCGCCCCGCAGGACTCGGGCCACGAGGTGTCGGGGCGGGCGGGGTGGGGCTCCGCAGGCCCCTCAGTCCCCACTGGTCCACCCCCAGTTACTGGGTGTGAGGGGACTCCCCAGGCGGGTTGGGGGGGCAAAGGTCGTGCGTCCACAGCCGCGTGTCAGAGCCCCGCCCCGCCCCACAGCCTCTGCGGGAGTCAGGCTGGCGCTCAAAGGGCCGGTGAAGACAGCCCGGCTTGGGTCCCTCTGGCGTTCCTGTCCACCTGGTCCCGCTGCCTTGGCGCAGCCTCAGAGAAGAAGCTGTGTCCTACCCACCCCGCCAGCCTGGACTGTGCCCTTTGCCCCCCGGGGCCTGGTGTCCGTGTCCTCACCTGTGGCCAAGGACTCAGTCCCGTGCCCACAGGCCATCTGCCCAGCCCTGTCCGCCCAGGTCTCAGCCAGGCCCGGGAGGCGTGTTCAGCCTGCGCGGCTCCCTTCCACGTGGGACACACACCGTGGCCGTGCTGTGGCCGACAAGGTCCGCCCCTCGGCCTTCCCCTCCGCCTGCTCTGGCCTCGCCTGCTGTCCTCTCCCTGCCCACACTCCTCCGGCCACGCTGGCCTCCTTCCTGCAGGACGGGCAGCGGGTGTGCCCAGGGCCTTGGCACCAGCCGTCTCCCCTCCTGGGCTTCCTCTCCCGGGGTGACTGACCCCATTCCTTCCTCAACAAGGCCCGTTCCTCCTACCACCGCAGTCTGCCCACCGCCCACTGCCTACCGCCCACCGCCCACAGCTCACCTCTCACCGCCCACAGCTCACTGCCCACAGCTCACCGCCCACCGCCCACAGCTCACCGCCCACCGCCCACAGCTCATCGCCCACCGCCCACAGCTCACTGCCCACAGCTCACTACCCACCACCCACTGCTCACTGCTCACCACCCACCGCCCACAGCTCACCGCCCACCGTCCACTGCCACCCCGGCCCTTGCAGTGCCTCAGCCGGCTCCGTCCTTAGCACCAATCTCGCACTAACCTCTTAAACGTGTGCAGAACGCCTAGTCCCGGGCCTGCCTCTGTGACCACTCTGCCCACCACACTGTCTCCGGACCCCGGACAGGGTCTGGCATAGAGTAGGAACTTCAGTCGTTATTTGTGACGGGAATGAACGGGCTCATGTAGCCCCCACCACAGCCCAGCGGGGGAGATGCCCTGATTTCACCCCACGTCAGAGGCAAGGTGGCTGAGGTCACCCCGCTGGGAAGCCTTCCCCCAGGTCTGTCTTGCTAGTGGACCCTAATTCTTAACCCAACACCCCAACCTCCCCTACTCCAGGGGAGACCTGTAGGGGCGCCCGGAGCAGGTGGAGAGCGAGGCCCCTCCCCTGGGCGGGTGGGCGTTGGGGGGGGCAGCCTGAGCTGGCACGGCGGCCTCCTGCTGTGAGCTGGCATCCAGCAGGGGTGTGGACGTGCGGACCGGGTCTCCTTGCTCTGCCGTCCCCCCTGCCGGACAGTGAGGGCAGCAGTTGCTTTGAATCGCTTCTCTGCGTCTCTCCCTCCCCGTGGGGCCTGGCCCATCCTCAGGGCTCACTAACCTTGGAGCTGGGAGCATGTGGGAGGAAGGAGAGGGGTTTGGGGAGGGGTGCTCTGCCTCCTCGTTGCTGGGGGTTTTCTGATGGGCAGGGCACGGACCTCTGCCTCTTTGCCTGCGCCCTCTGGCCAGACTGCAGTCCTGCCTGTCCTCGCCAGGGCCCGGCTGTCCCCCCTCCTGCGAGGTCCCTGGGTCCTGGGAGGGGTGGGCTCGGCAGGAGGCCTCAAAGGCGGCATCTGGGATGGAGAGATAAGAAAGAAGAGGGAGAGAGAGAGAAACATCCATGAGAGAGAAACATCTGCATCGATGGGCTGCCTCCTGTACGCCCCTTGCTGGGGATCCAGTCCACAACCCGGGCATGTGCCCTGACTGGGAATCGACCCGGTGACCTCCTGGTGCATAGGTCAATGCTCAACCACGGAGCCACGCCGGTCGGGCGGGAGGCTTGGTCTTGAGACCCCCGTGGCCTAGCAGGGGCCACGCGCTGAGGCGTGAGCCTTTCGGGCTTCGCTGGGTCGAGGCTGCAGGGGGTCTTCAGGGTGGAGCGTGGCTGCATCCTGAATCTGAGTGCTCAGTGGGGAGGGGGATGGGGGGGTGACCCATGGCGCAGAGCGTGCCCTAATGGGTTTTCTTGCCGCCCCCACGCGGGCTTTTTACTTAATCGTTTGCCAGAGTAAATCTCACGGGCCCGCGGAGGGCTTATTGTTTCATTTTCAATATCCTCAACGCACTCAGGGGCTCCTTTCCCACGAGATCTATTCATTTAATTTGGTGGAGGACAGACGTTGCACTTAACCCAAAGCTGCTCTGACATGACGGGGATTTAAGAGGCTGGCGCCAGGCGGGCCGGAGCGGGTTGATCTGTGTGAGAGAAGCCTGTCAGGTCCCGGCGTGCGGGCTTCACCTTCGGTGAGGATGGCGATCCGACCGCGGGCCGGCGGAGCCCACCCGGCATGGCTCGCTGATGGAGCGTCGACCTAGGAACCAGAAGGTCACGGGTTCCATTCCCAGTCAGGACACACGCAAGAGGATGGCTCGCGGTTGCACGTTTTATTCATTGTTTGTTTGTGTGTTTTTTTAAATATATTTTATTGATTTATTTACAGAGAGGAAGGGAGAAGGACAAACAGTTAGAAACATCGACCAGCTGCCTCCTGCACACCCCCCACCGGGGATGTGCCCGCAACCAAGGTCCATGCCCTTGACCGGAATCGAACCTGGGACCCTTCATTCCGCAGACCGACGCTCTATCCACTGAGCCAAACCGGTTTTGGCCGGCCGTTTTAGTCATTGTTTAGAGACACGCTTCCTCGTGGGTAGAGGAAGGATCGGTGGTTCCCAGGGGTCAGCCGGGGACCGGTTCACTCGCCGCTGGGAGCCAGCCGAGCAGGGGCAGCCGTGCTTCGGGGAAGCCTGCAAAACGGGTCTGCTAAGGAGGACGTTGCTTTATTCCGAGGTGACGTCCAGCAGGTGGGGTGATAGGTGGCAGCGTACACCGATCTCTGACTAGCACGTAAAGGAGAGAACGTGGTCCCTGTCCCAGCCACCTCCGTCCTCTCCCCTGACACCCTCGTCGGTCCCCAGCGTGGGCCCAGGCACGGGAGCAGCTTAACCCTCTGTGCAAACTCGGGCGCGTTCATGCACTTTTAAATGCTGTTTTTCGGGGGGGGGAGGGTGTCTCCCCCACTGGTACAGTTTGCTGTGCATTGACTGTAAAATGAAAGGATCTTTGGGTTACACATTCTCTGACTTTCTCTCGCTCTCTCTGCCTTCCCTCCTCCCCCAGACGTCTCTCTGCGGCCCTCCGGAGGGCAGACCCAGTTGCAGACAAAAGCCCAGGTAGCCATTCCTGACAGACGAGGCATTTTCCAGCACAAATGTTCTGGACAAGCCGGCCTCTTTCCTTGCTGTGTGGCCGCAGGCAGGACCCTGAGCCACTCTGAGCTTTGCTTTCCTTGTTTGGAGTGAGACTGAGGGGAGTAGCTGTGATGCTGATGTGGAGGGCGTCGGTGAATGGAATGAGTGCGCGGTGCCTGCTGGGTAGCAGGTGCTCAGCAGGTGGTGACCTTGTGTGTCCTGGTCAGGATGCTGGGATGTCCCCGCTAAGGGGACCTCTGCCTGAGCCTGGGTGCTCCCTTCCTTTTGACGGTGCCTTAATCAGGGGACCCTGTGGTCCAGCTTGCAGGCTCTGGCTCCGTTTGGCCCAGGGCATGCTGGGATTAGCATCCCCTGAAGGCCTCTAACCCAAGGCAAGAGCTGTCCAGGGTCCTGACACCGGGACACACCGGGACCAGCATCTTCTCCCGCCCCAAACACAAGTGGGGGACTGTCCATGGTGCTGGCACGAGAGGCACGTAGTGATCAGCATCCTCTCAGCCTCCAACCCCTGAGATGGGAGCTGTCCGGGGTGCTGACCTGAGCCATCCTGGTGCAACTCACTGGGCCTGGGCCTCCATGAGCAGGGCCCTCCGGGGAGTGTGGGCTCCCCACTACCTACCCCCAACCCTCCCCCAAACCACACATAACCCGGAAGAGGAGACCAGGAAGACCACTCCCCAAGCAGGATCATGGGGCCCCCTGGGGAGCAGACAGCAGGAGACTTTAGAACTGGCGGCTCTCCCACAATGCCGGCTTTCTAAGAACAGAAT